GAGAAAAGCAGCTTGTGGCTGACCTGAGGCAAAAATGGCAGATGAACATAGTTGGGACAACAGCCACTGGGTGAGGTGAACACATGTACTGGACACTCCTGTGTGGAGAAGTCTCTGTTACGCATGGGGAAAAACAAAAAGAAAATGAAGTCCTCTTACAATTGTCCTCAAAAAGCTTGCGGTCCTGTTTAGGAGTTGAGTCCATACACAGTGCCAAAATTGCTGTGAATGATGGGGCGATACCTTAAAAATTGTGACGAGTACACCAGTGGTGCTGAGAGAGCAATGGGAATGACGGCCTCCAGAAGAACAATTCCGCAAAGCAATGTAAGATGCTTCTTCCCCCATAGCTAGTTCCCACCAGTTGGGGAGGCAAGTGATACTGAGGTAAAAGTTATAATATAAGGCAGTGTTATGTATAATTGTGTGTCAAGGGAGTGAAAAAGAAAGAACAACCTGAATGTAGGGGAAAGAAGGGAGAGATTAATGAAGGCTGACAACGGAGTATGGAGGGCAGTTATGAGCAGGGTTCAAACAAAGAGAGAGCCGTGGTGAAGGAACAGGCCAAATAGGCTTTGATCCGAGTTTGGAGCTGATGAAGGACACATTTGTGTAAGAATCAAGGTCGAAAAGCTAGGAGATGGCAGTTTGTTGGGAGACTTTGGGGTTAGATTAATAGCTTTGACCTTTATTTTTGTGGGCAGTTGCTAAAAACTTGAGAGCCAAGAGATGACATCATGAAAACAGGAGGCCAGAAATGACTGGAAGCAGAACAACCAGTTAGGAGGCCACTGCAGCACTTTCAGATAAAGTCCTGTAGGGGGAGGAGGGACAGCAGGGTTGAATTTGAGGGAAACCAGAAGAAAATATCCACAGCACTTACCTGATTGGATGTGGACAGAGAGGGAGGAGGGATGCTTTCAGTAGGAAGTGTGTTGAGGGGAAATTTTGGAAGTAGTCATGAACTTCCAGTGGAAAATCTTTGCAAGTGGAGAGAAAGATTTACATATGGGCAGGAGTGTCTTCTGAATTATCTTATAAGCGCTATGGAGCTTCTCTATGAGATAGGCAGGCAATAGATATCACACTGATTTAAAATGACAATAACAGGGAGAAACTTCTGGCTCACACATGCTGGGAGAGTAGAAAAAAGCAATCTGATCTAGGATTATGAACCTTGGGCTGAATCCCAGGTGGTTTTTTTTTGGTTTTTTTTTTCAAATTCATTGTACTTACTTGGACAAAATACTTTAAAATCCATTGGGCCAGTTTCCGTATCTATAAAATGGGGATACATAATATATTATCTATTCTTTGGGGTCTTACATCACAGCCATTATTTGTTGAGTGCTTTAGTATGTAACAGAATTTGTGTTAAAAACTTTATTTGCATTTTCTTATTTAATCTGTAGACTGTCCATTTTGTATTTAAAAAATTCCTAAATTTAGTGGCTTACAACTATCCATTTTATTTGCTCACAGGTCTACAATCTGGGCTGGGCTAGCCTCTGGTTCTTTTACTGTCACTGATGTGTTTGCAGTCAACTGGTGGGCTGGCTGGGGGCTGGGTGCAGCTCAGATTTGGGATGGCTGGACTTCTCCCTCTCTTCACATATCTCAGAGCCTCACTTTCTCTCTCTCCATGTGCTTTCTCCAGTAATTGGACTTCTTACCTAATGGCTTAAGACTTCTAAGTAGAAACTTCCACACTTTCTCAAGGGTTAGGTGGGGAACTAGCACAGTTCCACTGCTGCATTTTCCTGGCAAAGGCAAGTCACTGGCTCAGTCCAGATTTAAGTGGAAGGGTCTCCACGAAGGTGTGACTAACAGGAGGGTGGTCCATTGAAGGGCAACGAAGTCACAGACTACCCGATATTATCTCCAATTCATAAATAAGTAATCTGTGATTTAAGGAGGATTAGTTACTTGACAATGCAGAGATTAGAGCAGTGATGGCGAACCTATGACACACGTGTCAGAGGTGACACGCGAACTCATTTTTTTTGGTTGATTTTTCTTTGTTAAATGGCATTTAAATATATAAAATAAATATCAAAAATATAAGTCTTTGTTTTACTATGGTTGCAAATATCAAAAAATTTCTATATGTGACACGGCACCAGAGTTAAGTTAGGGTTTTTCAAAATGCTGATACGCTGAGCTCAAAAGGTTCGCCATCACTGGATTAGAGCTAGGTACTTCAAAGCTTGTGTTCTAAATCATGGGTCAACAGATAAAATTTGTACAAAGCATACTTCCTTTTAATGTGTTTTGCACTAACAATTTTTGTTTTTTTGTTTTTTACAAATTGAAGGCAAGACCTTCCACCAACAAAAAGATTACACTTGTGTTATTGTGATACGTGCTTTATTGTGGTGGTCTGGAATTCAACCTGCAATATCTCAGAGGAATGCCTGTGTAGTGTTTAGATCTAGAATCCTATGAGGATTGGACATACTTTCCAAAGAAGGAAATGCAGGCTATGTATCTGCTATACCATGCTGCTTCATATGGGCAGTACCTGATACATACAAGGCACATGTAAATGTTATTTAACCTGAAGCAATTTGAAGGATGAAGGATTCAAGCAAATCTCTTTAACCACTTACTATCACATCTTATAGGCTGTTTGGGAACTGAGAGTTTTCTCTTTGAGTTATTCTGCTATTCAGTTTTCCTTTCAGGTATTTGCTCCTCTATCCTCCACTATTTCTTGAAGCTTAGCAAGAAATGAAGGCAACATCCTTACTCACCCAATCCCAACCCTGATTCTCACTGCAGGATTAGCTTCATGGCTCCCTCAGCATTTCCTTCTCTTGTAACAGCCAGGTACTCTTTACAAAGCAGGGTCTTCCTTCTTGGGTGACAACCTTCCTGGAGTAGGGCTAGCCTCAAGTTTCCATCCTCTAATCATGAGGATGGCCTTGTGGCTTCTGAATTAGTAACCATATGGTCTCTGTCACTTCCTGTAGTTTTATAAATAAAATTGTCAAAATTGGGGGCTTCTGAAGATAGCTTTTACAAATATGCTATTTCCTATGGAGTGACTTTTGGTGGTTTCCCCTTTCCCTATGTGGGTCCTGTGGGAACAGGACTTGCTGTATGGGAAACCCAAGATTCCAGTCTCCTGAAAAGAGTCATGTTCTGCTTAACTTTGAAGGTGATCCACATGGCTGTCTTTCCCTAAGGCAGCCCTGATTTTTTTTTTTAATCCTCACCTGAGGGCATGCTTATTGATCTTAGAGAGAGGTGGGGGGGAGGGGAAGAGAGGAGAGAGAGAAAAGAAGAAGAGAGAGAAGAGAGAGAGAACCTTGATCAGCTGCCTTCTGAATGTGCCCTGTCTGGGGATGAACTGGCAAACTAGGTATGTGCCCTGCCCATGAATCCATCAGCCAGGGCAGCCTGATCTTTACCACTTTGTGGGGAGTCTGGAATCAGAGTATACCAGCAAGAACAGATAATGGGGGGAGGGGGAAGGTGGTTCACTTTGGTGGGCTCTGCTCTATTTTGGGGGCAGTGACGGGCAGCAGCCATTGAGGGAGTGGCCCCAAATACTCCTACCTTTTTCAAGGCAAAATTATAGGGTGGCCTTATCTTTCCTGTAAATTGTTTCTTCAAGACAATTTTAGATTTTAATTTTGACTTCTTTTCACCCTTATAAAAATGTTGAGGCACAATACTTACACTTAATACAATTCTATTTTATTTAACAAACAGATATGTAGGTGGGCTGGGTCCTGTTCAAAGTGCTTTACATATATTGCGTTTTTTGACTTATTTTATAAACTTTGATATGAATCAAATGGGGCGGGTTAGGGGTATTTTGAAGCAAGACTTACCTCGTAGCCACTCTCCGCTCCCCCCAATGGAGAGAGGAGAGATGGAATTGAACTTCTCCGGAGGGCAAGGCCGCCTACTACTTCTCCCAGCTGTCTAGCCAGGCTAGATCTAGGGGTAGGGGGCTCCACCCTCGCCCAGATCCAGTCGTGGGAGGGTGAGTGGCTTTTTCCGGGTCACTGGCGCACCCTCTTTACTCCCAGCCACCTGCTTGGGTTCCATCCCGGTTCCAGGCTCTCTGGTGGGCGTCAGGGACATTCCAATCCTCCCACCACCAGCGCGGATGTGGCGGGGGAGGGGACGACTGCTCTCCCATTCCAGCACCCGGCTTTGAGTAAATTTCTTCTCCATCTCTAGTGACCTGAGTTCCCCCCGAGAGGAAACTAAGGATTGAAGAGTGGGCTGAAGGTTGTTTGTTTACAACGCGCCTGTTGGTGGAGCCGCATCCCTAACGAGGGGCACTTTCTGGGCACCCTCTGCGCTCCAGCAGACAACTGAAAGCCAAACAACCCAGATGCCTCCTCGCCAGACCAAATATGGTCACAAGCAGCCTCCTGTGTGAAGGCTGGCCTTGGTGTCTCCGCGTGCAGGGGCGCACCCGGTCCCGCCCTCGGGCAGAACCCTGGATTAGTGCGGCGCTCCCGTCGCTCCCGGCCTCAGCACCGGGCGCGAAGGGAGGGCGCGGCGCCAAGGACCCGCCCTTCCTCCGCCAGGGCCCCTCACCCGCGAGCCCTCCGCCGCCCCAGGCCTTGGTTTCGGTCCACAAGCCCTTGATTAAACAGGCCCAGGTCACTTTCCCTTTGATCCGCCCCAAGTCCGCGGTAAACTCAAAGGAATGCACTTCCAGAGCTCCGCGGGAGAGGTCCGCGCGACCAAGAGTGGGTGGGGGGCAACATTCTTCACTTAGCCTGCAAAGTACCCATCACACCCAAGGTTTCCTGGAGCCGGAGTGAGGGTGGAAGGAGGAGGAGGAGTAGGAAGGAGTAGGAAGGAGGAGGAGGAGGAGGAGGAGGAGGAGGAGGAGGAGGAGGAGGAGGAGGGACAAGCGGGGGCAGGCAGGCTCTGGACTTGCAATCATGCATAATTCAACAGCTCAACTTTCGGGCCCGCCTCTTTCCTGGGAGTGGGAGTTTGCTCCAAACTTTGTTTATGGGACAGTCGGAGAGCCGCGGCGGCCGCGCTGTCTGCTTCTCCTCCTCTTTCAAGAGCGCTAAGGCCTGAGACCAGATTGGGGGATGTGAAAGCCGAAGCTCCTCGACTGCCAGGTACCGAGGCCGGTCGGGATTTGCCAACCGGGCTCCGGCTCCAATCCTGCAAGATCGGGACGCACCCCGAGCGACCCAGGCCCGACGGCTGCCCCGCACGCCCAGACTTGGCTTCGCTGCGCGCCCAGGTAGTGCCCGCTGGAGCGCGCCCGCGCACCACTCCAGGGTGCCCGGCTCCTCGGGCTTCCGGGGTCGAGATGTGGAGTTGGCTTGGGTTGAGATTCCTTTGGGGGCTGCCTGCCCTGTAGAGCTGCGACCTGTTCTTTGCCACCAACAGTTCAGCAACGTCCGGAGTGCAGTTTCCTCCCCCCCTCTCCCCGCTCTTCCTTCTCTCAGTAACTTCTTTGCTCCAAGAAAGTTTCATAATTCTGGAGGCCAGGAGGGACTCCTCCCCCATGCGGCTGGTCTCCTGGCTGAGTGTCTGGGATCTCGAGTCGGATACGTATCTGTATCTTTTTCTTTTCTCTCCATTTTCTCCCCGTATCTCCTACTCCGACTTTAAATAAAAGGCTGATCTGACCTTTTTCCTTGTAGAAGATGAATCCGGCCTCAGCGCCCCATCCGCTCCCACCGCCCGGGCAGCAAGTGATCCATGTCACGCCGGACCTAGACACGGACCTCGAAGCCCTCTTCAACTCGGTCATGAACCCCAAGCCCAGCTCGTGGCGGAAGAAGATCCTGCCCGAATCGTTCTTCAAAGAGCCTGACTCCGGCTCGCACTCGCGCCAGTCCAGCACCGACTCTTCCGGCGGCCACCCGGGGCCCCGGCTGGCCGGCGGCGCCCAGCATGTCCGCTCGCACTCGTCGCCCGCGTCCCTGCAGCTGGGCACGGGCGCGGGCGCAGCGATCAGCGCAGCGCAGCAGCACGCGCACCTCCGCCAGCAATCCTACGACGTGACTGACGAGTTGCCGCTCCCCCCGGGCTGGGAGATGACCTTCACGACCACTGGCCAGAGATACTTCCTCAAGTAAGTCAGCCTGGAGCGGGGGAAGGGGGGAGGGGGCAGAGAGTCACGATACCGAGGTGCGCGCGCACGTGTGTGTGTGTGTGTGTGTGTGTGATGGTGTGTCTTTCCAGGGTTCTTTCCCAAATATTGTGAAGTTGGAAGTAAGGAGTGGATCCCTGGATATTGGAATTGTAAGGAAACAGAAGCAGAGACTCTGGTGATGTTCTTCCAAGGCATTCCAGGACATTCAGGACATGGAAACGCTTAGAGATAGGAGACATAAAAGTAGTTTTGGGAGGATTCTCATGAAACACTTAGGGACTTTGCCCTGAATCTGGAGTATTGATACAAACTCCTGGGCACAAACCCTTACCCCATCCCTGTCCATTCTAAGTCAGATACCTGGTCCATTGAGATGTGACACCAAAAACATGTGAGAAAAGTTCTGAGACTGGAGGAGAAGAGGGACTCTCGGTGGTCTGCAGTCTCTCTATTCTGGGGAAAAGCTGGAAAAGTGAACACTGCCTGGTAGGCCATACCTCCCAGCTGGGTGATGTAATGACCACACAGCACAGTGATGTAATTAGCAACTGCTGGTGAAGTAGTTGTGGTCTGGACAAATGCATTGTGTGGAAATTGGGTCAGGAGTTGTATTATGTCATACTTGGTAACCTAAAATACCATCGAATCAGGAGCCTACTTTGTCATTCTTCCCTTCACGTTGTTCCGGCTTTCTGATGTAATGAATTTTACATTAGATTCATGTTAGAGACTGTACAGGAAAATAGGTTCACAGATATAAAGAAAATTGTTCAATTGTGGTACCCTAAGATAATTATATTCCAGAGGAGAAACCAAGTTGGAACTTAAAAGGTAACCTGTGAGGTCTTGGAGGCTCAGGCTATCCATAGGCCCTAGATGGAAGTTGTGCCAACTGGACCACTTGGTTCAGGAGTGTCTGCACCAGCCAGCTGTTCACAGCCACTGAGGGAAACTTCTCTTCGAAGAACTTGCCTTTAGAGTTTGTTTATTTAAAGTCCATGTTTCTTTAAGGGTGCAGCCTTTGTTTGAAAGTTAAGACATTAGATGCTATTTTAAAAATATAATCAGTCCTTTCTTTGGCGTTAATATTTGATACTTTGATTGCTATCGGAGGGCCCTGATAAAAAATATACAGTAATGGACGAAGTTTATTATAACCAGCACTTTGACTCACACTGGTGACCAAGGATTTCTTCCTCATCCCAAGCTGTTGGACATCTTGTGCAAGAGGAGTTCTTTATTTTATTTCTGGGGTTGGTGCAATGCTGGGAAGCACTTGTCTTGGAACAGACTTGATGGCCATTTTATCCCACCACTGGTCTTCTCCCTGTTTTTAAGTGACAGTGTGGACATGTACTCAGTCCTATGAGTTTTAAATGGCTGGTGGAATTCCAGTGTGTGATGTAATAACATGACATTTTCTTAAATGTGATGATGGTGTTCTGAAGGATGACATTAGTTTCTATAGTTAATAAAGGTCCAAAATAACTAGCCTTTTGTATTAATGGTAAATGCAGTTTTGAATATTTTATTGTGAATTTTCTAGAAATGGACTTGGAAAGAAATAAAACTGAAAAAGACATAATAATTTACAGTAATTTGGGGGGATCATTTTTGGGCCCAAATGATTTTTAAACTGTTTATGAATATACACAGAAAAGTATATAAGAAATAAGAGCTGGGCTTACCCATTATCTGAGGAAAGATAGGAAAAAAACAACAACCCTCAAATAAAAGCAAAACAAAATAATTCCCTTTTATACACATTTTGAATGATTGGAATAGCTCAGAACTATCTTTGTGAAACGTGGGTAATAGTGGAAGTTGGCCTGAGTTTAGAGAAAAAGTTGCCCTGATCCCTCTGCCCATCTCCCCAACTACAACTACTCCCCAACCCAAAGCAAAGTGCGTCTTCATTTTACTGGATCCTCAGTGAAAATAACAGCTGAAAAAATAAATAGGATAGCCTGAACTGATGTTATCCCTGGAAATTTTTTGGCCAAGTAGCTAAAGGAATTAAATTAAGTCATCATGACTATTGTCTTTTAAAAAATATATATTTTTATTGATTTGGGAGAGGGAGAGATATAGAAACATCAATGATGAGAGAGAATCATTGATCAGCTGCCTCCTGCACGCCCCACACTGGGGACTGAGCCCGAAACCGGGCATGTGCCCTGACCAGGAATCGAACGCTCAACCACTGAGCCATGCCGGGCTTTTTTTTTTTTTTTTTTTTTTTTTTTTTTTAATATATTTTTATTGATTTCAGGAAGGAAGGGGGAGGGAGAGAGAGATAGAAACATCAGTAAGAGAGAATCATTGATTGGCTGCCTCTGCACGTGCCCTGACCGGGAATCGAACAGTGACCTCCTGGTTGAAGCTCTACCACTGAGCCAAGCCAGCAGGGCATGACTATTGTCTTTTGAGATTAGCAATCTGCCCAAAGTTCTCTGAAGTTCTTTTTTTTTTTTTAACTGAGGAAGGGAGAGGGAGAGAGATGCATCCTGCAGTGGGAGATGTATCACTGGGGAACCTGCAATCGAGGTACATGTCCTTGACTGGGAATCGAACCTGAAAGCCTTCAGTCTGAGGGCTGGCGCTCTAATCACTGAGCAACTGGCCAGGTCTCTCTGAGTTTCTATCGGAACTTTAAGTTGGAGTAAGGTAAATGTAATATGTTACACTTTGTTGCACAACCTCAAAAGGCACTGTATTACGGTGGAATAAATAGAAGTGCGAAAAATGCTGGCAACTGACCCTGGTTTAATTTTCATAAAATCTGCTCATTACTTTGCTCCAACATTTGTGAAACGGGGCTAGCAGTAGAATTCTAGGTCAGGGGGCTAGGGCTTCATAAATCAGAAATGAATAACTTTTTTTCTAAAAAAACTGAGTTCAGAAAAGGGTAATTTTTTACTTTGGGAAAGTCATGTGGTCATTTACTGGTGGACCCTGGATTGGACCTCTAATCTGTTGCCCTCTGTTTATTGAACACTTTTCCATTTTCCCCACCCACCTTTATCCCCGCTCACTTCACCAGCTGAACAATGAGCTTTATGGACGACAAAGCCTGGACATCTAAGATACTTTAAAGAGCTTTTTGTCATTTTTTCAGGGAAGGTTGTTCCTAGATATATGATGTAATCACTTTCTGGTAACCTCTTAAAGGGCACCTTTTCTAAGCATTCACCCCTTTCCTTTGCTGCTCAGGCATTCCTTTAGGGTAGCACAGTGGTCGGCAAACTCATTAGTCAACAGAGCCGAATACCAACAGTACAATGACTGAAATTTCTTTTGAGAGCCAAATTTTTTAAACTTAAACTATATAGGTAGGTATATTGTTATTAACTTAATTAGGGTACTCCTAAGGCTTAGGAAGAGCCACACTCAAGGGGCCAAAGAGCCGCATGTGGCTCGTGAGCCGCAGTTTGCCGACCATGGGGGTAGCATATAACCATAAAGGATCAAATGTTAAAACACATGGCCTCTGAAAATGACTGCATTGTTCCTGCTGTCCTCTAAAGATCATAAATCAGGCTGGATGTGTGTGTAGGTATTGGGCTCTTAGCAACCTGGCACATCACTGACTTTGAACATTGATCACATTAAAATAAAATAAAAATTTTCTGGTTATAAATGGAATATATGTTTATTGTACATAAACCAGAAAGTAAAGATATAAAGAACGATATGGCTTCAATAGAACTTTCAAACCTTGCAGAAAATTTTTATTTGAATAATCTTATATAATAAAAGCCTAATATACTAAGTTTCCAGTCATTCGTTTGTCTGCTCGACCGCTCGACCAGTCATGACGCACACTGACCACCAGAGGGCAGATGCTCTGACCTGTAGGTTAGCTTGCTGCTGGGGTCTGGCTGATCAGGACTGGGTGAGACTGGTGGGACACGCCCTGGAGCCCACCCATGGTCCCTCCCCAGCCCCGATCATGCACCTGTGGGGTCCCTTGGCCTGGCCTGTGGGGGGGATCAAGCCGAAACTGGCTCTCTGACATCCCCTGAGGGGTCCCAGATTGCGAGAGGGCGCAGGCCAGGCCGAGGGAGCCCACCGGTACAGGAATCTGTGCACCGGGCCTCTAGTATTCTATAAGAAAAAATATTTTATCCCCACTCCTAAATATAATTCCAATTATAATATTTGCCTGACATTCCCAATTTTTAGTAATAATTTTCATGGTTTGCCTTTTTTGACATATGTGGTAGAAAATTATTTTTGTCAATGTGATTTATGCACTTGGCAACATATTCAATAAAACAGAAGGACTTTTGTTGAAAAATAATGGTTTCCTTTACCTCCTTAAACCTCACAAAGAAAACCATTTAATTTTTTAAATATTTCTGTATTTAATTCTAAAGTTATTACCTTCTTAACTTTATTTATTTATTTATTTATTTTAATATATTTTTTTATTGATTTCAGAGAGGAAGGGAGAGGGAGAGAGAGAGATAGAAACTCAACTAATGGGGATTGAGCAGGGAAGGACTCGAACGGTGACCTGGTTCAAGGTGACCTAGATGTTCAAATACTGAGCCACACTGGCCAGCCTGTGTCACCTTTTAGTTTCTTCATATTTGTACCTTGACTTTCTTAAACATTTTTTTTCTGGTATTTCTAATTGTCTTTTTATGTTTGTATATTATTTGCCTTTATTATGATCTCAAAATTGTCTAGACTCTTAGTGCCATCACTTCTATCAAGCCTTCTTTCCCTAAGCTTATGCCCAGATTCCTTTATCTTTCTGAGCCATTCTGGATTCTGATTTCTGTATAGGCCTATGACAGAGTTGTCATTTTGGGACTTCTTTGTACTTCTCTTCCTGGCTGGAAGTGCTGTTTGCCATGTCTTCCTCTTTTTGGTTTATGCCTTCATTTTGCTGGAGCACTTGCTTGAGTAACTTCTTTTTTTTCTTTTTTTGTTAATCTTTACCCGAGGATATTTTTCCATTGATTTTTAAA